CGCCCAATAATGTGCCTCCGCTCGGCGTAACCTGTGCTCCACTGCCTCCATGGTCTCCGCTGTGGCTGTGATGAGAGCTCCGAGTAGGACCAGGTGGGAAACCAGCGAAACGTAAGCGTCGTGCCGACCCCAGTCTCCATGATGACAGGAGGCTGCGTGCTCTCGTCTGTGAGACTTCTACATGCCATGCACTCCGAAGAGTCTGGCTTCCAGCGGAAATCGATTTCAGCGAGGGGCCTCGTCAGCTCCTGCGCCATGATCTGAAACTGTTGCAAGTTGCACCCAATAATAATGTTATTGTCAGCCCAGATATAAGGTGTGTCAGCGGCGGACCAATAGCCTCGAAAAATATTCCGGAGTCCTGGCTGCGCCAGCTGCCAACCAATGGTTCAGGCCCGAACTCGATCATGCAATTGGAAAGTTCTGGCCTCTGTGCCGCCTTGCTTCCTGCCGACCTCCAGAGGAAATGAATCGCTGGCAAACCTCGCTGGCTGGCGAGGCGCGATCCACCGTCGCAGCGACGCGCCTCGAGCCAGCGGGGTCGTCGGCGACGGCCTACTGTAGTTGGCCTCGAATTTTTGCAATTGCCTCTCGAATTTGTCAGAATTTGGGGAAGTCATTCTTAGCGGTTGCCCCTGAATTTTTATGGTGGTTGCCTTTCGAAATTGTTAGAATATGGCCTACTGCCACGTCAGCGGCATGAGGGTTCGGCCGGTCCGCCCCCGAGCCCCGCGGGGCCAGGCGGCCTCGCACAGGCTCCTCGTTGGCGTGGCCGCGCTGAAGTCGCTGCCTGGCTGCCCTGACGGGGCCCACAGACACACAAATAAGTACACACAAATAACAGGACTCCCCCTGTTTTTCCATATTTTTGGGGATCTGTCTTCCCCCCCACTTCCCGTATTTTCCCATATCTTCCCGGGAGTCGACGATCCATTGTGTCCTGTGTGCTTCTCTCCCTCCGGATTCCCTCGCGCTCAGGGAGGTCAGGGCCTGGCACGCATGGGCACCACGAGGGGCGCGCCGCGAAGGATTGCAAAAAAACGGAGGATTGCAACAAAAAAAAAGGGATTGCAAAAAAAAGAAAAAACAAAAAAAAACAAACAAAAAAAAACGAAGGATTGCAAAAAAAACGAAGTGCTTTTTGCAATCCTTCGTTCGAAGGGTTTGTTTTGCAATCCTTTTTGCAATCCTTCGTTTTTGTTTTGCAATCCTTCGTTTTTTTGCAATCCTTCGCCGCGCGCAGCCGTGGGCGGAGGAGCGCTGTCCCGACGGCCGCCCTCGCGGGAGGCACGCGCGGCGCGCGGGGCGGCGGCCTCGGCGGGTCTGCCGCCCACGTCCTCCTCCTCCTCCTCCTCCTCCTCCTCCTCCTCCTCCTCCCTCCTCCCTCCCCCTCCTCCTCCTCCTCCTCCTCCTCCTCCTCCTCCCTCCTCCTCCTCCTCCTCCTCCTCCCTTCTCCTCCTCCTCCTCCTCCTCCTCGGACCCCCTGCGCTCGGGGTCGCGGCCGCACCCGTGCCCGGCGGCGCTGGCGCTTCGCGCGCCAGCGCCGGCCTCGGAGGCGTCCGCCGCGAGCCCCAGAGCAGCAGCAGCCTCACGTGGCGCCATGCCGCCTCGCCGCTCGCTGTCGTGGCCCAGGCCGACCAACACGCTGACGAGAGGAGTAGGCGAAGGAGAATGCGGAGGGAGGAGGAGGAGGAGGAGGAGGAGGAGGAGGAGGAGGAGGAGGAGGAGGAGGAGGAGGAGGAGAGGCACGACGAGGAGGAGGAGACGGAGGAGGAGGACGAGCGGGAGCACATGAGGAAGATGAGGGAGCACGAGGCGGGCAGGACGGGGAAGAAGAGAGCACACGGGGGATCCCCCGGCGGCCGGCCGGCGCACAACCCCCGAGCGCTGGCGGTCGGGGAGCCGCGGGCCTTGCCACCTTTCCGCGCGGACTCCGAGCGGTCGCGCCTGCGCCGTCGCGACCGTCGCGACCGGCTGCGCCGTCGCGACCGTCGCGACCGCGATCGCCTCTTCGTTTCCTGTCGGGGCGCTGAGTGTCCAGGTTCCTCCTCCCCCCCCCTCCCTGCGATCCCCAACTCTTTTTTTGTTTTCCTCTCTCTCTCTCTCTCTCTCTCTTTCTCTTTTTTCTCTCTCTCTCTCTCTCTCTCTCTCTCTCTCTCTCTTTTTCTCTCTATCCTCCTTCCCCCTGGTCTCTCCCCACCCTTACTCCAGACCTGGCGGTGCCCTTGTTCGGACCTGGAGACCTCTCCCCGAAACGGGCCCTTTCGATACCCCACGAAATCCTCCCCACAGCCCGCTCACTCAAGACCCTGTCGCCTCTGTGTTACACCGAGACGCTGCCCCTACGTAGATCCTCCCTTTCCCCAGTTCCTGTCCCCAGAGATCGACTCGCTATATCCCCTTCCAGATCATAATTGGCACTGGCGCGCTGGAAATGGCGACGCGTGGAATCAAAATCATACAAAACTACGATCTCTAGCGTAGGACCGAGAAAGGTAATTATTCGCCAGAGGGTTCGGGACCCTGTGGGCGGCGACCACGACAATCGCCAAAACCAGGAGAATCTACAGGGCCGGTGGGCCCCAGGACCAGGAACCAGGACCACCGAAGCCCAAGACCCAAATGGCGGCAACTTGGGCAGCCGCAACGGGACCCGGGACCTCATGGGCACCCACCAGAGCGTCGCAGTAACCGAGGGCAGCGGGTCTCGGGACTCCATGCGCCGCCACCAAGAAAATCGCAACAGACATGGCCAGCGGGACCAAGAGCCCTATGAACGGCGACGAAAAAATCGTAACCAACAAGGCCAACGACGTGAAAAAACGCAGCAGCAAACGCGCGGCGACATGGAACTCGTAACAACTCCAACGAAAGCCGGGACCCTGCGGGTAGACACATCGACGTCGCAACAACTAAACTCATCAGGACCCAGGATCCAGCGAGCGGCCTTCGGGAAGTAGCAACAACCAGAGCCAGCGGGGCCCAGGACCGTCTGGGTGCCCACATGAAAATCTCAACAATCAAAGGCAGCCTGAACAAGGACCTTATTAGCCGCCACCAAGACAACCCCGACAAGAAAAGCCAACGGGACCTGGGACCCCACAGACAGTGACGAGAAAATTGCAACAGCCAAAGCCAACGAGACACAGAATGGCTGGCGACCCGGAAAATCGGCAACAACCAAGGCTAGCTGGACCAAGAACCTCATGGGCGGTGACCAAACAATCAAAACAACCACGGCCAGCTAAACCCGAGATTGTATGGCTGGCGCATGGGTGGCCATGAAACAAACACACAACAACGACATCATACGACTTCCGACGAAGCCAAGAGCCCCTGAATGCCAGCACCAAGTGGGGAATTGTGTTGATGTGTCCGTGAATAGCTGCCTGCGATATTCGCAATTCATGTTGATGCTGTAATTGGGTGACGCAGCACATCGACAAAATGTCGCACTATTCTTGGCGCGCATTGTTTACGCTGCATTGCCCCCCCGATTCCATTGATCCCCTTTTGATGAGCCTCTTCCGAAATGGTCGGTTTCCACTGCGCCTCCCATCAATGAGAATTCCTGGGAGGTTCCCCGAATAGGGGTGCCGCTCTGGGAAACGTCCCTTCCTCGATGCTCGAAGCCCGCCCCTCAAGTGGCCAATTCCTATTCCGTCTGCGTGAGCTCCCGCCCCTTTTTCTTAAAGCCTGTCACAGAAGTGCCATTTCTATTGCGGCTGAAAGGATGCAATGCCTCCAGGATGTCTCCAACCAAATCGCCCCTTCTGCAAGCAGTCACGGCCTCCTCGAGGCATGTTCAGAAGTTGTTACTTCGAAGAACAGATCCAATACAAAGGGCACCAGGGCGGGGCCCTTCTGGGTGATTTCCCGACTTCTGTTCAGCGGTCATATGCTCTTACAACACTCTTCTGGAAGGCCTCCAGCGGGTTAGGGTCCTTCTGGGGAAGATCCCAGCCTGCATCGGCTCCAGGCATCTTCCGTTGTCCTCTCTGGCCTGTCCCAAGGGAAGTTGCGCCTGTCTTCTCGCTCAAAATCCGCCGATCCTGTCGGCATGTGCGAGGGGAGTCTGGGTTGGTCGTCGAGGGGTGGTGCTGGGAAACGTAAGCCCGTCATAATCGAGGCTTTCGCCCCTTTCCCTGCAGTCACCCGGGGCTCTCCAAGCTCGCCAGCCCGAGGTGAATCGACCCAGGTCATGATCGAGTCGAAGGGAAGCCTTTCCCTTTGATCCTTTCCCCGCGGGTGGGGGGGTCTTGGGGGGGGGATCCGCTTGGGGCCAGTGTGGCTCTCGTTGGGCCACCCAGGCCCGCTAGAGTCCTCTCGGGGCCACCCTCTATACTTTTGAAAGTCTCGTCGACCGTCTTGGATGCCCCAGATTTCGCAAGATGGGCTGAAACCTTTGGTTTTGTGCAGTCTTGACGCTCTCGACGCATCGGTCGCAAGAGCGCCCAAGACGGCCCGGGAAACCCCAATGACTAGCCCAAGATGGCGCAAGAGGCCCCCAAGAGGGGCCCCAAAAGCACGCCACTGTCGCAACGCTGGAAGCCACCCCCTCCAACGTGATCCTAAGACCCCCACGAGGCACAGGCCCAAGAGGCCCCAAGAGGCACAAAAGCGGGCCACAAGGGCCCCTGGGAGCCCCTCGGGAAGCCCCCTAATATCGCCCTAAACGTATCCACGGCCTTTGGAACACGACCCAGGCGCAGTGGCGGGATGAGCCGAAAACCACTACATGTTCACACTCGCATATGCCGCTAGTGTTCCTGGCCCCTCTCTTGCGCCCAAACTGGCCACTTCTCAAAATCGGTGGAGCTGGCAGTAAAGGCATTTGCATCATATGAAAACGAGTTGCCTGCCAATCACGCTCGACATGAGTCATGTGCTCATACAGTCTCTAGCGGCAAGGACCTTCAAGCAACGCTGTCCGCGCACAAGTCGCTGGCCCAACGGGCCAGTGGTGTGCTCAGCTCTCCAGCAAGAAGCTCACAGTATGGCTACTTCGCGAGAGTGGCGCGGCCCCTGGGGTCCCTGGGCGAAGAATAACTACCGCAGAGGATTTTTATGCTATTCGCAATGCTTCTCTGCCGCCCCGTCTCCTCATCGCGTCGCTGCAGCGTGCGCTGAAAATCGAATAATATGTTCGGGCGGAAGCACACTGCCCTGACTGTGCAACGAAACGGGTGCGCGATGCAATGCCAGGCTGACGGCTGGCCAATACCCTTCTGGCATGGCGCCCCCAGTTGAGCAGCACCACGGCTGCAGCCGCGCTTGAAAAGATAGAAGACTCTCGCGCCGTCCGGAGTGCCGAAGAGGACGACGAAGCCGAGGACTGGAGGCGAGCACCGCCTCGACCCATCACCACCGAGAAGGACCACACCAGATTTCGTAATAGAAGGGAGGGGGTCTCATTTCGGGGGGGGTCTCTTCCAGGCTATCTTGGAGGGCCTGGGGGGGTCTGGGGACGATGTTTTAGAGGGTTCTCCCACGGGGGGGGTCTAAAACTTCTCGTCTGGGAGGGTTGAGACCTCCTCCCTTTTATTACGAAATCTGGAGTACACATGCATACACTTATGCACGTGGCTTACTGCCGCGGCGTCTGAGGATTCAGGAGGCACCCTGCTCCAACAGGCAGCACCGAAAGAGGGAGAATATTAATCACGGGGGTCCTCAGACGAGAACCACGCCGAGTGCAGACGAAAAGGTATTAGAAGCGTTTTTTCTTTTCTTTTTTTAGCGCAATATTTTGGAGAGGGGGGAAAGGGAAGGACAGGGAACTCGCGAAGCACCACAACACTCCAGTCCAATTGCCAGTCGCAAGCAGCCTCACACAGCCCGCCAGGCCCGATACAAAAACCCTGGACTCGCACAGTGAGGAAAATGCATGTGTCACCGAATCGGTGCATCGGTGAAAAGGTATTAGAAGCGTGGGCAGGGGGTCCGCCCTGGACTGTCGACGAGCGCCTCCACGACTCGTCACCTCCGAGAGCGGCCGAAAACGCACAGAATATTACGCTCGAGGGAGGCCCACGCCGGACACGGGGCCGGTGCACGCACCACCCCGGCCGGCGCGCGGCGCGGAGCGAGGCGCGCGGCCTCTCTGCCCTCCGCCCTCCTCCTCCTCCTCCTCCTCCTCCTCCTCCTCCTCCAACTGCCTCCTCCTCCTCCTCCCCTCCTCCTCCTCCTCCTCCTCCTCCTCCTCCTCCTCCTCCTCCTCCTCCTCCTCCTCCTCCTCCTCCTCCTCCTCCTCCTCCTCCTCCTCCTCCTCCCCCTCCCCTCGTTGTTCCAGCAGCCGCTCGTCGGCATGGCCCTGCAGGCAGGCCAGGACGCCTCGCCGCTGCCCGATGACTCGGCGGGCCGGGCCGCCTCACCGCTGCGGCACCTCGGCAGCTGCCGCTACTCGCCGCGCGGGCGACGGCTCCCCCTCGCCGACAGCGCCCTCCCCGCGTGGCTGGGGCGGGCCTGGGCGGGCGCCTCCGCTCGCGGGCGCGCGGGCTGGGGGCGGCACGCCGGCCTCTGCGCGCTCGGGCCCGGGCTCGCGCAGCGCGGGGTGCTCCTGCGGTCGTCGAGGCCGGAGTCGTCGAGGCCGAGCGGCCTCGGGCCGCGGGCGCTCGCGGTCGCCCAGGCGCGATGTGCCTGCGGTCGCCGAGGTCGGTCGGGCCTGCGGTCCTCCTCCAGCTGGCAGGGCTCACCACTGGGACGCACGCGGCCCGACCTGGAGAAGGGCCGCTGGTCCTCGCCGGCGACCTGGCCGGTCCGATGGCGCCCGGCGCCCACCTCGGAAGACCTCGGGGACTCCTCGGAGAGGTCGGAGGTCGACTCGGTGTCGCTCGTCTGGCCGCTCATTGCCTCGACCAGCTCCATGCTGCCCAGCTCGGGGGCCGTGAGCGCCCCGGCCGCGCGCCAGCCCGGCGCGCCGAGGAGCCTCTTCCGCTCGGGGAGGTCGTCGGTGAGAGCCGACGCAGCGGGAGGCCCGGGAGGTCGGAGCCCGAGAGGCCTGCGGATCCTGCCGGGCAGGAGGGCGCCAGGGCCCGGCGCGGCCTCCCCGCGGCCGCCTGACGGCCTGCCGGCGGCGGGGCGCCCGCGGGCCAGCCGGGGGGTCGAGGGGGGCCTCGGCGCGGGGGCCGCGCGGGGTGCCTCCGCCCACGCCAGCGCGGGAGGGAGCTACTTGCCAACGGGCGGGAGCCTCGCGCTCGCGGAGCGCGCCATCCCTGCTGGGCCTCGAGGAGCGGAGGTGCCTCGAGGGGTGGGCCGGAGCGGCTTGAGCCCAGCAAGGGTGCCAGAACTCCCGGGGGCGGCTGCCACGGGGCCTGCCGAACGCCCCCCGAGCGCCTCCAGGGACTCCAAGTGAGCTCCGAGACGGCCCAAAGAGTCGGGAGCAACGGGCGGCAGGCCCCTATGTGATGGCCGGCCCAAAGAGGGCCCCAAGAGGCCTCAAGAGAGCCCGAAGGTGGCCCAAGGAAACTCCATAAGGGCCCCGAGAGGCTCAGTTTTGATGGTTTTTCCCTCACTGGAGTTGTTGCTTTTTCCGGCTTTACACCGCCCAAGGCGGCCCAAGAGGCCCCCAATATCGCCCCGAGACACTCCAAGAAGCTCCCTAGATGGCCCCAAGGCGGCCCAAGAGGGCCCCAATACGGCCCAGGAGGCCCCCCAGGGGGGCACCCCCGAGAGAGAGAAGCCCCCCAAAAAAACCCAAGAGGCCCCAACATGCCGCCAAAGCGCTCCGAGAGGTCTCCCGAAAGAGACCCTAGCAAGCCTCCCAACAAAGCGCCTTGTCCACGACCCAGTCTGGCCACTGGCCACTGAACAATGAATACAAGATCGGCCGGCGGAATGGGCGAAGTCGCCGCCCCCCCACCGGGCACGGCGTGAGAGACCACCACCGTATGATCCGCAAGGAACACCTATCCCTGCCTCTGAAACTCTCCGAGCCCCTCCCGGGGTCCTCCCCGCGGACCGCTCATTCCGACGGCCCGCTGGCCTTGGGAGCTGCAAAGGCACCCTCTGCCCACCATGTCCGCCCCAAAACGGCATCTGTTTCAGGCGCTAGGTTTCTGAGCGCCGCCGGGCCCTCTCAGAGACCTCTCCAGGAGCCTCCGAAGCCAGGTTTGGGTGGCCTTTGGGGCCCTCCTGGGCTCATCTTGCTGGGCCACCTTGGGCCATTCCGGATGCCTCTCCACCTTCGTTTGAATTCAAACGATTGCACGCAACGAAAAGCAAACAAACAACAAACTTGTTTTATCCAAAATCTGAAGAGCAGGGCGCCCGAAGGGCGTGGAAAGGCCTGTCGAAGAACTCTGGGAGGACCTGGAGAGAGCTTCCGAAGGACCTTCTGGACAGCTTCCGGGCACGCGTATTCGGAAACGCTTAGAAAAGGCCTCTCCGGACTCGCTGCGAGTTCAAGCCGCCGCGCCAAAGCTGCATGCCAGGAGCCGGAACGACCTCTGCGAGTACCCTGCGGCTCCAGCTTCTTAATATGAAGCCCTCTTGGCTCTCCGCGAGCTATCCGGGAACCTCTACTGGGGTCGACAGGTCGGCAGTTTCTAAGCCGTAAAGGTTTCTGGGCAACGCTGGCCAGGACGCTGGAAAGTATGCCTGGTGTGTTTGCACGATTCGGAGAGACGCTCGCCAGAACGCTGGAAAGCATGCCTGGGGAGCTTGCAAGCTTCGGAAAGCGAGCTTCAAGAGAGCTTCGAAGGAGCTTCAAGGAGACTGCGCAGGACCGGCGGAAAGGCTTGAAGCACGCGTATCGGGAACGAGTAGGGAAACGCTTCTCGGGACACGCTGCAGCTTCAAGCAGCCTGCTGCGAGGATGCCTGACCAGGAGCCTTGGAGAGGAGCTGACGTAGCCCTGCCTGCCAGCTTCTTATGTGAATCCCTCTTAGCTCTCAGAGAGCTATCCGAGAAAATTGTACGACCTGCTCAGGTCAGAACAGTTTTACGACCTGCTCAGGTGAAAGCAGTTGTACGACCTATTCAGGTCGGAGCAGTCTTACGATACAGCCTGACGCTTGCGAGAGCAAGTCAGAGCAGTTTCACGCGAACGGGAGACGCTTGCCACGACGCTGGAGAGCACGCCTAGGGAGCTTGCAAGCTTCAGAGAGACGCTCGCCAGAACGCTGGAAAGCATGCCTGGGGAGCTTGCAAGCTTCGAAAAGCGAGCTTCGAAGGAGCTTCGAAGGAGCTGCGAAGGACCTGCGGCAAGGCTTGAGGCACGCGTATTGGGAACGAGTAAAAAAAACGCTTCTCGGGACACGCTGCCGGCTCAAGCAAGGCGCTGCGGGGATGCCTGCCTGGGAGCCTTGGACAGGGGCTGGCGTAGCCTTGCCTGCCGGCTTTTAATATGAAACCCTCTTGGCTATCTGAGACCGATATGGGAAATAAGAGGACTTACGCCTCACGCCTCTCGTGGAAATCCCGTGCATCTCCTCGGGCTCCTCCTTCATGTTGGAGTCTGCGGATACTCTCTGCGGCCGTCCTGACTGGCTCTCGAGCCCGCCCCCCCGACGTGTCTGGGCGCGTTGTGGGCAGTTTCTCCATGTCACCCAGGGCGCCTCCAGAAAGCACCCGGGAGCCTCTCCAGGCGGCAAAAACGAAGTGGCGGTGCTTTTGTTCCCCCACCCGTTTCCTGCGATCACACCACTCCGCCGCATTCGCCCAATGCTGGTCCCTCTCCGGGCCCATCTCGGAACCCCCCAGCGCCCCTTCCGATGGCTTTCCAAGCCTCATGGCGGCCGCCCTGGCGGAGGGAGGAGGGAGGAGGGAGGAGGGAGGAGGGAGGAGGGAGGAGGGAGGAGGGAGGAGGGAGGAGGGGGACCCTCCTCGGGTCCAAAAAACAGCGGGGCCGTGGTGTCTGCCCCTTCAATTGAATCATCGAACCAGCCATCTGGGAGCATGTGGTTTAACGAGTTTTGTTTTCTCTCCCCCTCCTTCCCTTGCTCGGTGGAGGGATTTACGCCTGGCGCACCTCGCCCCAGCGTTGCGCACATGGGGTCTGTTTTGGTTACGATTGGCTGTCCATCCAAAGACTACCGCTGAACGCGCTGCAGCTCGGGTGCTACTGATGTGTTGGGAGGGCGGGTGGGAGTGAGCGAGACAGTTTGCTGGCGGGGAGGGTATCTCGACTCCTCCCCCTACGTAACCCCCTCTCCTGGGCCTGGGAGGGGGGGGGCGGGTACTTAGAGTTTCAAGACGGGCCCAAGATGGTTTCACGAGGGCCCTCGGCAGCCCAAGACGGCCTCCAAGATGGCTGAAGATAGCCGACGATGGTTCGATATAGCCTCCTACATACCTCCAAGAGGCCCTAAGACAGCCCCAAGACGGTTCCAAGTGCCCCATCGAGCCTTCCCGGGCGCCCTCCATCAGGCCAAAGTCCTTTAACAAAAACCTGCGGGGAAATTGATGTCTTTTGCCTTTTCGTTGTTTCGCTTCCGATTGGCTGTTGAGGCCTCAAGATGGCCCCAAGATGACCCAAGTGAGCCTCAACAGGGGCTCGCTCAAGAGCGCCCCACGACGGCCCCAAGAGCGTCCAAGGGTCGCCCAAAAGCGGCCCCAGGGGGCCGCACGACACAACTTCTTGAATTGATGACCCCCTCATTCCAAGCCAGGAGGGCCACGAGGTCTCTCGGACCCCTCCAACGAGCCCCTTATGGGGCCCCAAGACCCCCAAAACGAGCCCCTAGAGGGTCGCAAGAGTGCCACAAGAGGCCCCACGGGGACCCCAAGAGAGCCCTTGAGATCGCCTTGATCGTCCTTCAAGAACCTCTCATAACAACATATCTCCAATGCCCGACTTCTCATCCCCCTTGTCATCGTCCATTCCTTCCCTCCTCCTTTCCTGCCTCCTCCCTCCTCCACCTCCTCCTCCTCCTCCCCACCTCCTCCTCCTCCTCCTCCTCCGCCTCCGCCTCCGCCTCCGCCTCCTCTTCCTCCTCCTCCTCCTCCTCCTCATCCTCCTCGTCCTCCTCCTCCTCCTCTCCTCCTCCTCCTCCTCTCTCCCTCCTCCTCCTCGTCCACTTCTCCTCCTCTCCTCCTCCTCCTCCTCGTCCACTTCTCCTCCTCCTCCTCCTCCTCCTCCTCCTCCTCCTCCTCCTCCTCCTCCTCCGCCTCCTCCTCCTCCTCCTCCTCCTCATCATCATCACCCTCCTCCTCCTCCTCCTCCTTCTCCCCCTCATCACCCTCCTCCCACTCCTCCCCTCCTCCCCCTCCTCCCCCTCCTCCTCCTCCTTCTCCTCCTCCTCCTCCCTCCTCCTCCTCCTCTCCTCCCCATCATCATCATCATCATCATCATCATCATCATCATCATCATCATCATCATCATAATCATCATCATCATCATCATCATCATCATCATCATCATCATCATCATCATCATCATCATCGTCATCATCATCATCAGCATCATCATCATCATCATCATCATCATCATCATCATCATCATCATCATCAGCATCATCATCCGCATCATCATCATCATCATCATCATCAGCAGCAGCATCATCATCATCCTCATCATCATCAATCATCATCAGCAGCATCTTCATCTTCATCTTCATCTTCATCTTCATCTTCATCTTCTTCAGCATCATCATCAGCATCATCATCATCATCCCCCTCGTCCCCGCCTCCCCCTCCTCCTCCTCCTCCTCATCATCATCATCATCATCAGCATCATCATCATCAGCATCAGCATCAGCATCATCATCATCAGCATCATCATCATCAGAATCATCATCATCATCAATATCAGCATCATCATCAGCAGCATCATCATCAGCATCATCATCAGCATCATCATCATCATCATCATCATCATCATCATCATCTGCATCTGCATCTTCATCTTCATCTTCATCATCATCGTCATCAGCATCATCATCATCGCCCTCATCCCCCCCTCCCCCTCCTCCTCCTCCTCCTCATCATCATCACCATCATCATCATCATCATCATCGTCATCATCAGCATCAGCATCATGATCATCATCACCATCATCACATTCATCAGCATCATCATCATCAGCAGCAGGATCATCAGCATCACCATCATCATCATCATCATCATCATCAGCATCATCATCATCATCATCAGCATCATCATCAGCATCAGCATCAGCATCAGCATCAGCAGCAGCATCATCAGCATCATCAGCATCAGTATCAGCATCATCAGCATCATCAGAATCAGCAGCATCGTCATTGTCATCATCAGCATCAGCATCATCAGCAGCAATATCAGCATCATTCTCACCATACTCATCATCATCAGCAGCAGCATCATCATCATCAACAGCATCATCATCGTCACCACCATCATCATCGTCATCATCAGCATCCTCATCATCATCAATCATCATCATCATCGTCACCATCATGATCAACATCATCATCATGTCCCTCATCATCCTTCTCATCCTCCTGCTCCTCCTCATCATCTTCATCATCATCATCCTACTCCTCCTCCTCCTCCTCCTCCTCCTCGTCCTCCTCCTCCTCCCCTCCTCCTCCTCCTCCTCATCATCATCATCATCATCATCAGCATCATCATCCGCCTCCTCCTCCTCCTCATCCTCCTCGCCCTCCCCATCCTCCTCCTGCTCCTCCCCCCCTCCTCCTCCTCCTCCTCAATCCTCCTCCTCCTCCTCCTCCTCCTCCTCATCATCATCATCATCATCATCATCATCATCATCATCATCATCATCAACATCATCATCAGCATCATTATCAGCATCAGCATCAGCATCATCCGCATCATCATCAGCGTCATCAGCATCATCAGCATCACCAGCATCATCAGCATCATGATCATCAGCAGCATCATCATCAGTATCAACATAAGCATCATCATCCTCAGCATCATCATCATCCTCATCATCATCATCATCCTCATCATCATCAGCAGCATCATCATCAGCAGCATCAGCATCATCAGCATCAGCATCAGCATCATCATCATCAGCATCATCAGCATCATCCGCGTCCTCCCCATCAGTCTCGCGCCCCATACATCCTCCTCCTCCTCCTCCTCCTCCTCCTCCTCCTCCTCCTCCTCCTCCTCCTCCTCCTCCTCCTCCTCCTCCTCCCCCTCCGCCTCATCCTCCTCATCCTCCTCCCTTTCCTTCATCCTCCTCCTCCTCCTCATCCTCCTCCTCCTCCGCCTCCTCCTCCTCCTCTTCCTCCTCGTTCTCCTCCTCAGCATCCCCTCCTCCTCCTCCTCCTCCTCCTCCTCCTCCTCAGCCTCCTCCTCCTCTCCTCCCTCCTCCTCCTCCTCTGCTCCTCCTCCCTCCTCCTCCTCCTCCTCCTCCTCCTCCTCCTCCTCCCCTCCTCCCCCGCCTCCTCCCCCCTCCTCTCCCCTCCTCTCCTCCCTTCCTCCTCCTCCTCCTCTTCCTCATCCTCCTCCTCTTCTTCCTCCTCCTCCTCCTCCTCCTCCTCCTCCTCCTCCGCCTCTGCCTCCGCCTCTGCCTCCTCCTCCTCGCCCGATGGTCCCAGGAGGTCGCGCAGGCCTCAAAATAGCCTCCCACAGACCTCCAAAGATAGCCTTCGACAGACTCTAGCAAGCATGGCTCAAGATAGCCTCCAAGAGGCCTCAAGAAAGCCTCCAAATCGTGTCTGAATGGGCTGGTGGGAATACGTTTTGGTTCGCAGGTGCACGAAGCGAGTCGGACGCCGAGCAAGCAGGCTGGTGGGAATATGCGAAGCGTCAAGAGTAAGCCATCATCACCATAATACTGTACCATCGATGGGCGCACGTGATACAACAAGCAGGGAAAATGGTCATGCCAAGGTACACAGAGGTGCGCTGATGATGACGGCAGGTGCATGACGGTCCTGTTTTTGGCGCGTCTTCTTCCACCGCCGCCGCCGCGGTGAGCTTCTCACAGATGCCGAGCTGTCCTGCGACTTGCTCCGCGCCTTGGCCTTGGCGGGCACCTTGGTGGACGCCTTTTCGGCATCCACGTCTGCCTGAGGCAAAGAATCCACATTGTTCGCCCCCCTTGGAGAGGACAAGAGCGGGAAGGAGGGGGGGGGACACGGGCGAAGAGGGAGGGGGGGGGGGAAGAGGCGACATGGCGGAGGAATGAGAGGGAGGAGGGGAAGGAGGGAGGAGGAAGACCAGAGTAAACCCAGGATGCATCAACGATGCTGCGACACACCCTGCATTCCCAGGCGCCCCGCCTCCCAAGTCCCTGCAAGCCTGCTGCCGCCCCGCTGCGGGAAAGCGCCCCCCTGACATCGACACACCCCGCCAGTGCAACGGCCGCCCACGAGGCGACTACGGCCGCACCTGGCACACCCAGCGAATCATGTCCGATCGCAGGTGCGAACCCTTGGTGCAAGCACTGCCTTGGGAAAAACAGCAACGGAATGATCTCACACACCGGGGGGGCTGGCGGCAGAGGGCTCAGCCCTCACGCAAGAAAGAGATGCGGCTCTGCACCAGCTGGTCGCAGAGCATGCTTGTGAAAGCCACCTCGCACGCAGAGGCCACGAGCGGCTCAAAGCCATGAGCCACGAGCCACCCCGCTCGCACACGAGTACCGCAAGAGGCCGCGAGGAACCGCGGGCCAGCAATCACCGAATCTGCTGCCGAAGGCCACTTCGCACGCGAGGACCGCACCGGCACTGCAGGGCCGCGGGCCGGGGACCGCGAGCCGGAGGGTGCGCCGCCGTGGGCCACCCAGCCACGCAAGGGCGACGCGGCGCCACAGGGCCACGAGCCGCCGAACCCACTTCGAGGGCCCACCCCGCACGCATGGGCGACGAGGGGCCACGGGGACACGCGAGGGCCACGGGGGCCACAGGCCACGAGCCGCCGGATCGACCCCCCAAGGAGGAATACCCCCCTGCCCCGAGCTACATTTCTGCCGAGGGGGGGCGGAGACTGTTTTGCGGTTTGGGCCAGACTTCTTTTTTGGGGCTGGCGCGCCAGCATTCAAAAGAAGCCGCCCGACCCAGAACAAATACACCCCCCCCTCTCCCTTCCCCTCGAGCAGGACCACGGGGGGGTGCCTTCGCCTTGAGCTGCAGTCCCGTCTTCGGCTTCTTGGGCGACCTGGACTCCTCGCGCGCGGACTTCGACGGCGCGAAGGGGTTGAAGCCCCAGTCCCTCGGGCACGGCTGGAAACACGCGAAGGCCCTTGACAAGGAGATCAACTTGGGCGTCCCTCTTCCTCTTCCTCCTTCTCCTCCTCCTCCTCCTCCTCCTCCTCCTCCTCCTCCTCCATCCTCGTTCCTCCTCCTCCTCCTCCTCCTCCTCCTCCTCCTCCTCTCCTCATTCTCCTCGTCCTCCTCCTCGTCCTCCTCCTCCTCCTCCTCCTCCTCCTCCTCCTCCTCCTCCTCCTCCATACTCGCTCCTAGCTCCTCGCTCTGCCTGGCCCTCGCGCATCTGATCCCCTCGTTCCTCCCACCTCCTCGTCCTGCCCCTCCTGCCAGAAGCACTCTCCCTCCGCCGCTGCGGGCGCCATCCCCATGGGACGGCCTACGCGGTGTTTCGGGACGCCCGCCTCACGCGCCAGCGCTGCTCGATGCCCGAGGGGAGCCTGTGGGTGACCTCGTGCTTCGAGACCGCGACGGAGCCCCCAGACCCGCCCTTGCAGCATGGGGGGGGCCAGGGCGAGCAGGGCGGACGGAGGGGTACCCAGGTGAGGTGAGGAGGTGGAGGAGGAGGAGGAGGAGGAGGAGGAGGAGGAGGAGGAGGAGGAGGAGAGAAGAGGAGAAGAGGAGGAGGAGGAGGAGGAGGAGGAGGAGGAGAGGGGGGGGGGGGGGGGGGCGAGCGCTTCCCCCACCCCCCGAGAGCGGGAAGGGAGGGAAGGAAAGGGAAGGGAGGGGAGGCACGAGGGGAGGGCGGGAGGAGCGAGGGAGGGAACAAGGAGGGAGGGAGAAGCAGAAAGAGAGATTGGACTCCAGAGGGAGGTCGCCTCTCCTCGAGAGAGCGGTGGGACGGAAGGGGGGGACTCCTCAGGGTCAGGGTAGCGCTTGGGCACAGCAGCTTCAAGAGTAGAAAGGGACGTAGTCGCGTCAACCTGTCTGCTTTTAGACACCAAGCGCCGGAAAGGGAAGGAGGACGAGTCCACACGTGAAAGTAGTCCGCCTCCGCTTTTGCTTGTCGCGCCCCCTATCGACCTTGGCGTCGTACAGCAGCTTGCCAGCCTGCTCGATGGGCCAGGCTTTCTTCGCCACCCGCAAGACCCCAGGCGACTCTATTGTACCCGAGCACGCCTCGTAGTGCGTGCGCAGCTCCTGTGAGGTTGCAAACCTGCACCCACCCGTCCGCCCTGGCAGAACCAAAGGGGAGAAGAGGAGGAGGAGAAAGCGCCAGCCCCAATTGGGCGGGCAAGCCGTAAACCCTCCTGCTGTACTGATGTACTGTTTACTTCCAGTCCTTGCTACTGTCTGCTACTGGGAACAGCGGCGTCAAGAAACAGTGGGGGAGTCCCAGAGCCTCCTGGCCACTCTAGGCTTTAGGTTGCCCCAGGAGTCCCATAGAGACGCCACCAGACGGCCAGGAGGGCCCAACAGGCATCCAGAACGGCCCCCAGAGACCCCGAAGAGAGCCTCGTAAGCCAAAGACGGCTAGAGATGGCCTCAAACTGCTTCTAAGCTGACCAGGGAGGCCCCAAAGCGCCCCCGAGAGCAAAAGGCAACGATATGAGGCATGTGCTGCTTATTGCCTGTCCCACATGTTGCTCCTAAAATGTCACAAGATCGCTTCAAGACGGCCCCCAGAGCAACCGAGATTGTCCCAGACAGCGCATAGGTGGTCCTAAAAAGCCCCCCGATGCCAGCCAAGCCGCCCAGGATGACCCAACAAGGCCATCAAGTAGCCTCAAGATGCTCCCGAGATGGGCCCCCGAGGGGCCCAAGAAGGTCCACAGCTGTCCCGACATGGCCGCAAGGGGGCTCGGCCTGGGGGGGGGGGCGGCGGGCGGAGGCTGCTTTGGCCCGCTCCCGCCTGGGGGCGTGGGCCGTACGAGACCACCCTGTCAGAGAGTTTGGCCGGATTCGGCACTGGCCCGGTCAGAAGCTCCCTGGAGGGGTCCCAAAGAGCCCAAGATGGCCCTGAGACGACCCAAGAGAGGCCTAGAACGGTCCAAGACAGCCCCAAGAGGACCCCAAGACGGTCCGAGAGGGCTCCGAGATGGCCCAAGAGGGCCTCAAGAAAATCCACGATGGCCTGAAATCGGCTCACGAGGGCCCAAAGAGGCCAAAACCATTGACTCCCACACAGGGTTTGAAAGATTGTGGCGTTTTCGTTGTTCTAGACGTTTGCGCTTCAAGACGGTCCAAGAGGCCCTCAAGATCGCTCCAAGACGGGCGAAGAGGTCCCCAAGACGGCCTGAAGACGACCCAGGGCCAAAGAGGCCCCAGAGAGAGCCCCAAGAGAGGCCCACGAGGGGGAAAGTGAAGGCGCCTTCGGAGCCTTTCCCCTCAAGAGTACCCCCAAACCTCTCAACGTGCCCCCAGGAGGCGCTGGGAGGCACCCGAGAATCCCCCAAAAAGCCCCAAGCGGCCCGAAGAGGCCTCAAAATGCCTCTGAGAGGCTCCCAAAGAGATCCCCTGTCCGCACAATGGTGGCATCGAACTGGCCCGACGACGAAAGAGAGAGAGAGAAAGAGAGAACAGGAGAGAGAGAGAGAGAGAAAGAAAGAAAAAAAGAGAGATAGAGAGAGAAACAGAGAGATATGTATATATATATATATAGAGAGAGAGAGGGAGAGAGAGAGAGAGAGAGAGAGAACAAAAAAAGGGCAAGACGAGACGGGACGGGCCGGGACGACGGGGCGATGGGGTTGGGCGGGACGAGAGGAGAGCGGAGCGCCGCAGAGGGCGCAGGGGAAAAAGCAGGAGCGAGACGAGGCTCCCCAGGCTTCGCTTTCCGTTTCCCGTCGCTCTCCGTCCTTGCGCACGGCCTTGGAGCTCGACAGGAACTCCAGCTGCCTCAGGGAGCTGCAGACGGTGCCCGCTACGAGGCCGTCCCCCAGCTTCGGGCCGATGATGCGGACGAACCGGTCCCCGCAGAACAGCCAGTAACCCATCCTCGACCACCCCCCACCTTCCCACCACCGTCCCCCGCGCTGCTTCCCTCCCCCATTCCGTGCCCCTCTCCCCTCCCCTTCCGGCCCTCCCCCCCCGTTTCCAATTCACTTCCTTTGCCTCCCCTCCTCTCGACAACCACTCATTGCGAAAATTACGCACCTTTCTCCCCTAATCACTTTCGCTTTTCCTCCAACCCTCCTGTGTTGGTGGGTCTTCCTCTTCTCTCCACTGCGCCGCGCACCCCCCGCCCGCATCCTTCATCCTCGCCCCCACTCGCTCCTGCCTCTGCCGGCGCTGTCATTGTTGCCGCTGCGCCACCGCTTCAATCCCGTGCAGACCTCGCGTGGACCGTGCCCATGGAAAGGTCCCATTCAACTACGGCCCTGGCCAGGGCGCCCGAATGGCGCCACCGCCTCAGCTCGACCCACCTCTCTCTTGCGGATCGGGCCCCACGGGGAGCTCCAACTAACTGCAGCTCCAAAGGAGGGCGCCGGCAGGGCGCCGTCGGCGCGGCGCACCCCTCGCGAGACCCACGCGGGAGCGCCCGCACGACGCCGCCGCTGCCTCACGCCGGCGCACCCCTCAAGCGGATCGCGCCCTGCGGGTAGCTCCACTATGGTTCTGGTTGGGGCGCCCACGTGGCACCACCGCCTCAACTGAGTGCACCCCGCACACGGATCGCGCCCCAGAGTGGACTCCAGCTATGGTTCCAGTGGGGGCTCCGTCCTCGTCCTCCTCCTCCTCCTGCTCCTCCTCCTCCTGCTCCTCCCACTCCTCTGTCCCGATCCCACCCCCCCTTCCATGTCCATTTTGACGCAGACTTCCCATGTACACTTTCAGTTTGTGCATTTTCGTGCAAAGGAACGCTACCTCACACGCATCATGCATATGAGAAGGATCGGGTGCTTCGCCAGGATGATGTGTCACCCACCAGTCCCACACACCGGCTCTTCCTCATAATATCACTTGCCAGGCTTAGCTCCTGCTACACTCCTGACCCTCTGTAATTACTCATTACAAGTACTACCCTCCTCTCTTCTGTGATCGCTTGCGTTTTTCACCAGCCACTCCCGCGTGCTGGGCTTTCCGAACAGGAATTCCCAGTCCGACATTTGACATGCGCCTTTCTTCGCACTCGGAACGCCTGTCGTCGTTCGGAATGGCGTTCTTGCCCCAGCGCCTGCCGCACGCATGACCCTCTGCAACTACTCATCGAGTAGTACTCTACTCTCTCTCCTGGTAATCTTCATACTTTCACCAGGTGCTCGCCCTCCCCTGCCTCGAGATGTGGAAAGCTAGGAGCAGGACAAAGCCCTGGCTGCCCCCCGCCCAGGCCCTAGGTCCCGAGGCCCCCTCCCGGGGGGAGGGCGACGACGACGACGACGAGGACAAGAACGAAAAAAGAAGGAGAGTGGAGAAGAGCGGGGAGAGAATGAAAAGTGTGAAAAGGGAGGGGGAAAGAAAAGAGGATGGATGGGGAAGAGGTGTAAGGAGGAGTAGCTGCAGAGGAAAAAGAGCAGCAGCTGCAAAATAATTCCACCAGCCTTTTATGGCGTGAGTGGTTTAGAGCGCTTCCTCTCACAACCCCGCTCCTTCCACTTCGAGGAGGGGTCCATCGCTTCTCCCTATGAATAGACACCCTCCCCGCACGACTGGCAACCAACCCGGACCCATGAGGGTACCCATGAGGGCACCCCTCCCGACATGTTGGTCAAAACAAACACAACAAATGATTATGTTTAGAGCGATCCCCACTGAAACCTTCGGCGTTTGATCCCGACGGTGCTCGCGCCCATTGGAACGGTGTGCGCGTGGGCCGGTGGTGTCGGCCAGTGCGGCGGTCTGACCAGTTTGCAAATTCCCGTTTTCCTGACATCTAACGACCCTGGAGCCCAAGACGAAGGAAATCGAAACAAGCCCTGGAGCGAAAAACTAGCCTCCGAAGCGCGTGGTGCGAGTCCCCAAAACATGCCCTGAAAAAAACAGTAGGAGGAAGAGGAGCAGTAGCAGTATCAGTAGCAGTGGCAGTAACAGCAGCAATAGCAGTCGCAGTCGCAGTCGCTGTAGCTGTCGCAGTAGCAGTCGCTTTAGCTGTCGCAAGAGCAGTAGTAACAGTAGTAGTAGTAGTAGTAGTAATGATAATGGTAGTAGTAGTACCACTACAACTACCATTACTACTACTACTACTACGACTACAACTACTACTACTACTACTACTACTACTACTA